GTGCGACTGCATACTACAAAGCGTAAACACACATATTCTTTCGATACTCGAAATGTTTGTAGGTAGGAGCGATAGAAGGGTAGAAGAATAAACAGAGATAAGTACGTAGGTATGCGAAAAAAGTATAAGGTCAAAACGAACAGACGGTCAAAATAAAGAAAGAAGGTGCGTGGTCTGGTTTTTTTTACCAAAGGTGTGTCATTTCTTTTCTATTTAAAAATGTTTCTATTTTATTGAAAAATTAATATAAAATTATTTATTTCGCAAATATTATAATTAACTTATATAAATACAAAGAATATATAATAATTGTATTGTCTGCAATATTTTAAAAAAGGAATGATTACAAGATACATCAGAGAAAAGGAATTAGATAACACTGTGGAATAAATGAAGTGCAGCTGATAAATTCCATTCAAAGGCAAGTAAATTTCTGTCACATTTTTATTTTGCTTCTTCATAAAATATATTTGATTCATAAAAACAAAATATGTCTATTAAATTGGATTTTTATATGTTTTTATAAAAAATATCCAAAGATATGTACTTACCTATGAATACAAAACAATTTTATTATTATATAAAATATTTACCCTATAAAGAAATTATTATTAATTTTTCAATAAAATAAAAATATTTTTTATTGAACCTTGCATAGGACTCTATCATTAAAATAAGACCTATTTCGTAAGAATCGATTTAAAAAAGTTTGTGGAATGCTCCGAGGCATAACTACTGTTTTTTACTCTTTTTTACCAGTATGGTAAACAATCCTAAAAGTATACCTGTTTGGGAATTAATCTGCCCAATCAGAACGCTCGACAGTTGTCGCTCAACGCTGACTCGCCATAGCTCATCTCGGCGGTGAAGAAGCGCCGTGACGCCGGCTTCTCAGGCAGCCATTGTTCATTAGTTCACGTCGACTCGTTCCATTCACACGTGTTTTCTCAGCTTTGTCTACGTCTTCTCACAAAGTCATAAGTTCGATGGGATTAATATAATCCTCATCGTCCGATTCAAAAGTGATTAATATAATCACGCCATCTCAAGTCCACTCAGTATAACATTCGTAGTGAAAAGTTCGGAACGTATTTTTTTCGGAACGGAGCGAATTGTCACGCTCAACCTTCAATCAAGGTATAGACCACTCACAGTGACAATTTCAGCTCACGTGTTAAAGACAGTTACCACCATCCTGCCGGCCAGAAAGACTCAACAGGAACCCGAATGGCCACACCTGAAGGGTTTAACTCTCGCTGATCCAGAATTTCTCGTTCCAAGGGCAGTAGATGTCATAATCGGAGCAGACTTCTACGGCCAACTCATTAGGCCTAATATCATTAGGTACTCAGAAGGAACTCCCATTGCTCAATTATCAATCTTTGGGTGGTTGGTCATAGGCCCAATTCAGGCACCGGTCACGCWTGCAAGGACAACTCATCTCGGCAGYTCWCAGGTATCAAACTCGTCCTTGCGAGAGTTGTTGACACGGTTCTGGGTCCAAGAAGAACCTCCATCATCGGACAACTCATCGCTTACTCCTGAGGAGCAGGAGTGTGAGATCCACTTCAAGACCACTCACTCAAGGGACTCAACTGGGCGTTACATCGTCAGGATGCCTCTCAAATCGCCCTTAACAGTCCTGGGAGATTCTTATCAGACAGCTCATCAATCGCCCCAACGAATTCTTAGGCGACTTGGCAGAGACACTCAGTACGACCAATTTTACACCCAGTTCATGCGAGAGTATGAACAATTTCAGCATATGCTCAAGCTCGATGACATCTCAGTTGGTAGAAGGCCGGCCACATTACTATTTGCCGCATCATGGGGTACTTAAGCCAGACAGCTCCACCACGAAGCTCAGGGTTGTTTTCAACAATTAGAGTGCCAGCTCCACTGGTCACTCGCTCAATGACATCATGCACGCTGGTCCTAATTTGATGCTCAACATTTTTGACTTGCTCATTTTGATACGTCAACTCAAGTATCTCTTTGCGACTGACATCACTAAGATGTACCGGCAAATCATGATACATCCAGATGACCAGGATCTGCAACGCATCGTGTGGGTGAAGGAACAGCAGGTGGAATCTCATTTTCAGCTCACTACAGTCACGTACGGAACCAAATCAGCACCGTTCCTGGCTGTACGAACGCTCCTTCAGCTTGCTAAAGATAAAGGCTCTCAGTATCCTCTCGCTGTCAAACCGATCACTCATGGGCGTTATGTTGATGACATCTTCGGAGGATCCGACACAGTGGAAAAGCTCGTGGAGACTGCTCAACAACTCATACGGCTCTGCCATGCGGGCGGATTCCTGCTGGCTAAGTGGCACTCTACTTCTCAGGAACTGTTTAGAGAGGTCTCGTCTGAGCTTGGCGAGACCTCAGGCATCTCATTCAACGACTGCGATACCAAAATCCTTGGTATTCGATGGTCACCTCAACAGGACAGGTTCGACTTCTCAACAATCTCAGCTTCTCCCTCCAAACGATACTCRAAACGTCTTGTCCTCTCAGAAGTAGCACAAATTTTTGATCCATTAGGCTTCGCATCTCCAGTCATAATTAAGGCTAAGATCTTTCTTCAGGCTCTCTGGTTGCATGATCTCGACTAGGACGAACCACTCTCGGAACAGCTCATCTCACAATGGCTCAGCATTACACAAGATCTCATTAGTCTGGCCAGACTCTCTATCCCACGTTGGTTCAACACGCTCTCGGATTCAGCTGTTGAACTACATGGCTTCTCTGATGCATCGCAATTCGCAATGGCAGCCGTTGTGTATCTCGTTGTTAACTCGTCGTCCACTGGCGCCAAGGTCTCTCTTATTTGCTCAAAAACGAAGGTCTCACCGCTCAAGCGGCTAACCATCCCGAGTTTAGAACTCTCAGCAGCGCTGCTACTCTCCACGCTCATGAATCATGTTTGCGCTACTCTAAACATGATCATAAATAAGACAACCTTGTGGACGGACTCTCAGGTAAATCTCACCTTGATCAAAGCTCATCCATCAAGATAGAAAGATTACGTACGCAACCGCGTGATCAAAATTCAGGAACTCTCAAGGAACGCTCATTGGAGGTATGTGCCTAGCACATCAAACCCAGCTGACTGTGCATCGCGTGGGATAACCACAGATCAGCTGGAAAAGCACTCTCTAAGGTAGACGGGACCACCGTGGCTCACTCAATCAGTGGCATCATGGCCGGCTCAGATCGATACAACTCCTGATGACTCATGTGCACAAGAAGCTCGTGCTCGTGTCGCACATCACGCGGTACGATCTTCTCCGAGGTATCATTTGGATCTCATTCATCGATACTCATCGCTCAACAGGTTGTTCCGAGTTACAGCTCTCTGCAATAGATTTCTCAAAAGGCTCTCAGGAGAGCTTGACGCGACACCAGCAGCCTGTATCTCAGCTAAAAGCATGGAAGACTCACGACTCTTTTGGGTCAAGGCCACTCAATCGGCGTACTACTCAGAAGAAATCTCAGTGCTCTCAAGACGTTCTCAGCTGCCAAGTTCGCATCCACTCTCTAGACTCACCGCATTCATTGATGCCGGCGGTGTGCTCAGGGTGGGCGGTCGCCTCTCAAAGTCBGAACTCATGTACGAGGCAAAACATCCAGCTATTCTCCCTCGTAGCTCCAGGCTCTCAGAACTCATCATCGCCCATGCTCACAAGAAAACGATGCATGGAGGCACTCAGTCGACTCTRGCACTCATCAGACAACTCTACTGGATCATCGGAGGAAGAGCTCCAGTGAAGTCATATGTTCTCAGGTGTGTGGTGTGTGCTCGTTACAGGGGGATCCGTGCTCAGCAACTGATGGGCCAACTATCTCTGGCGCGAGTCACTCCATCACGCCCGTTTTCTCACACAGGCATTGACTACGCTGGACCGCTCACGCTCAAGACTTGGAAGGGACGTGGCTCCAAGACTCATAAGGGTTCGATCTGTGTATTTGTCTGTCTATCAACTTCAGCCGCTCATCTCGATGTCGTTTCAGATTACTCAGCAGAGGGTTTCATTGCAACKTACAGACGCTTCACCTCAAGGCGGGGTGTCCCGTCAGACATTTACGCTGATTGTGGCACCAACTTCTTGGGCGCTGAAGTTAAGCTCAAGCAATGTTTCTCAGAAAGCTCTTCAGGACATCGGGAGATCTCTTCTCTGCTAGCTCAAGACAA